TATAGTTAACATAATACACTTGAAAAAAAGTGAGTAAAACTTAATTGCTTTCATTCTTCTGCATGTGGCTGTCCAATTTTCCCAACACCATTTGTTGAAGAGACTGTCTTTTTTCCATTGGACATTCTTTCCTGCTTTGTCGAAGATTAGGTGAACACAGAGTTGAGGGTCCATTTCTGGGCTCTCTGTTCTGTTCCATTGATCTATGTGTCTGTTTTTGTGCCAGTACCATACTCTCTTGATGATTACAGAGATAGTAGGAAGGGAAAAATGAAGGGGGGTAATCGGAGGGGGAGACGAACCATGAGAGACTATGGACTTTGAGAAACAAACTGAGGGTTCTGGAGGGGAGGAGGGTGGGGGGATGGGAAAAAAACTTAATTGCTTTCTTGGTACAAATTACATAAAGCTTGATAAAATCATCACAGCACATGGAGGTATCAAAAAGCAGTCAACCCCCTTTCCATCATTGTCAAGGAAGTTTAAAGGAGGCCTCCTTAGGGTGTAGTAAGAATTTAGATGTTTACCCAAAAATGATGTGCTTTTTTTTTTTTAAAGATTAAGAAACCTTGCTCAAACTTAAGACTGATGAATCACAGACCTGTACCTCTGAAACAAATAATACATTATATGTTAAAAAAAAAAAAAAAAAGAAGATGGAAGAAAAAAATGAAGGGGGGGAAATTGGAGGGGTAGACGAACCATGAGAGACGATGGACTCTGAGAAACAAACTGAGGGTTCTAGAGGGGAGGGGGGTGGGGGGATGGGTGAGCCTGATGATGGGTATTAAGGAGGGCACGTACTGAATGGAGCACTGGGTGTTATGCGCAAACAATGAATCATGGAACACTACATCAAAAACTAATGATGTAATGTATGGTAACTAACATAACGTAATAAAATAAAATTTAAAAAAAGAAAAAAGAAACCTTGCTCAGATGCTTTCAATGAGTGGTTAAGGATGAAGGGGTGGAGGCAGGAATGAGCTTGTCATTCAGCATTGGTCTCAGTAGACAGTGTCCCCCAGATCCTGACCCCCACAACCCCATGTGGCCCGCCCCCCCCTCCGGGATGCCTCTGAAATCTCTGCCTTATGTCTTCCCTCTTTCCTGAATGCAGGGAACCAAGTAACTTGGGATCCTCCCAGCCAGCCTGGTGTTGCCCATAAAACGACTCTGTGATGCTCTTCTCTGTTCTGTGACATAAATATAAGAATGGGTACACACTGAGGTAACCTAAGGAGATATTTAGTCTGTATGCCATTGGCTAATATCCCTCCCTGCCCTCAATTATTAGAAGGTGGACTGGGGCGCCTGGGTGGCTCAGTTGGTTAAGCGAATGCCTTCAGCTCGGGTCATGATCCTGGAGTCCCTGGATTGAGTCCCACATCGGGCTCCCTGCTCGGCAGGGAGTCTGCTTCTGCCTCTGACCCTCCCCCCTCTCATGTGCTCTCTCTCTCTCATTCTGTCTCAGATAAATAAATAAAATCTTTAAAAAAAAAAAAAAAGAGAAGGTGGACTGGTTCCCTGGCAGAGTCCCAAGGAGTGAGAGGAGGAATGGCTATGGGTGCATACAGTGAAGGCAGAGTCCTGGGCATCAGGGTTCCAACCTCTGGAAACATTCCAGAGCAAGACTATACTTGGCACAAAGGTGGCAGAATTCCCAGGCTTCAGGAGAGAACAGGCCCTTGTATAAAGGTTACTAATACCTTTATCAATAACCAGCGGGTGTGGGGGGGCACCTGGGTGGCTCTGTCAGTTGGGCATCTGACTTTGGCTCAGGTCATGATCTCAGGGTCCTGGGATCGAGCCCCATGTCAGGCTCCCCGAATCTGCTTCTCCCTCTCCCTCTCCCTCTCCCCCTCTCCCCCTCCCTGCCACTTGTGCTCTCTTGCTTTCTCTCTCAAAAAAGGAGAAAATCTTAAAAAAAAAAAAAAAAAATCACCGTTGGGGACAAAAGAGTGCAGAGATTGGATACAATCATTAGTTCAAACTATCATTCTCTTTTTTTTTTTAAGATTTTATTTATTCATTTGAGACACAAAGATACAGAGACAGAGAGAGAGCATGAGCAGGAAGAGAGGCAGAGGGAGAGGGAGAAGCAGGCTCCTCGCTGAGCCAGGAGCCCGATGTGGGGCTCGATCCCAGGACCCTGGGATCATGACCTGAGCCAAAGGCAGACGCTTAACCGACTGAGCCACCGAGGCACCCCCAAACTATCATTCTTTATCTGGGTTCAACCCCAGCAGAATTCCTGGCTGCTAGTTTGATCAGTTGTCATCCGGTCAGATAGGAGTTCCTATGCTGAAGAAGCATGCAAGGTCTCAATGTCCTGACAAGCTGGCCATCTTCCCCAGGTTACAAGTACATGGGTTTAGCCCCCTGGTGTGCTGGTAAACGTTTAACAACTGGCTTGTGGGGCGAGGCTGGATGGGAAGAGTCCTGATTTGTAGGACTTGCAGATTTCCACGGTGCAAATGGCAATTTGCAGCCTCCATCCTGACATCACTGAATAGGGAGTTGAAGAGATGTGCCCACCATTATAGAGTATTTCTCGCACACAGATACAGCAGTACTAAATAACCTTATGAGCACAGATAGTAAATAATAAAATGTCATAAAATTATTAAGAAGTGATGAGGTTTTGAGTATTTCTTACCTTTGTTTCTAATATAATCTGTCAGTTTATATGTTAATTTTAATAATATCTGTGTTCAACAACCAGATTGTGGAATTCCTGAAACTTTACCAATCAGCTATCTTCAGCCAGTTCAAGTCAGTTCCCAGTACATCATGGATTAAGTCACCACCACGCAAAGAAGCTGGTCCAGTGAAAGGTTCTCAGCTCTCTATACATATGACTATTCCTAGGGAGCCTAGCTGCCTCTCTCTTTCTGTGTTCCCACTACAAGCCCTTGGGAGAAGACTGTTTGGCTCAGCTCATTTTTTTAAAACAGGCTGCAAACATTACCAGGGCTGACCCCGCAGGGTCTTTGCTTCTCTTTGGGCTGTTAGAAACTGGAGCTTCCCCTCATCTAGGATGGCAGAGATGGGCAGAAGAAGGACACAGGGACTGGAGCACCTCCGGACATCTTAGCTCCGGAACACTTCTGGTCCCATGGCAAATTCTCCATCACTCCATGTTTTTTTATACAGTGTGCTCAGATACTCAGTGCAGGTTTGACTCCGAAGTGCCAGACCACTGGAAACAGGGAGAAAGTTTCCAAAGTAGAGCCTAAGGAAAGCCAAACTAGGTGGGATTGGGATACAGTCCCATAACACCAACCTTAAGAAGAAGAGGGAGGAAAAGTTGGAGGCTGAGGTTTAAGGAGTGATCATTCAGGCTTTAGGTCCTGCCTTTCAATACTGTGACTCCTAGGGAGGGGTGAGGCTGCAATATTCCAGAAAGTTGCAAAAAAAGGGTGCCACCAAACTTAAACAACTGGTGGGTGGTATACATAGTGCCTCTCCCTTTCCATGAATTTCCACTGCTTCTATCAACAAAAGTCTAACTCAGTATGATCCCCCAGCTTTTCTCCAGACTCTCTCCACATGGAGAAAAAATTATCAACAACATGCTCCTTCATGCATGTCTCCACTCCACAGAAGCCCAGCCTCAGACCCACAAATCCTAGTTTTGTCCTCCAACACATGCCAAGTAGGGCAGGCCTCCCTCTGCAACTTTTTTTTGACCCCTGGAAATCCCGCTTTCTCCAGCTGACCCACAATCTTTATAAAGCCAGCCCAGTCTAAGAGCTCTCTATAAATTTTCCTCTGTGAGGCAGAGAGAGGCCCAGAAAAGGCAATTCATCCATTCCTTCATTCAGAAAACATTTATTAAGTATGTATTATGTGGCAAAGCAAAACTGCCACTAGGTAGTGGGGATTCTACAGTGATCAAGACAGACAGGGACTGTGCTTTCAAGGAGCTTAGAGTCTAATGGAGGAGATAAATATTAAACAAATAATTTTAAAGAGTGATAAATGCATCTATTCTGGATCCAGCTTTCAGTATTACATGAAACAAAGTGGTCCAAGGGAGGTGGGCAGGGAAGAAGTAGGAGGTAAGGGCCAGAGCATCTCTGCCACGCAACCCCCAAGAATTCTAGCTTTCTACCAGGTGGATGCCTCACTGCATCCACATTCTACCCCTTGAGAGAAATTACAGCTCAAGGCACAGCTTTCAGCAATCCCTTGTTGATCCCTTTTTGGGCCCATATCATGCATTTGTCATTTGTTTCCTGCCAAAACCAACATGTTAGCATAGCCTGGTTGAGAACAGGAGCCATAGAAGATAGGACACCCAATAGAAGCTTTGTCATGTCAAGACCCAACCAGTGTTAAAACCATGGCAGGAAAGGAAGTAGAATAAATACAGAACAAATATTTTGATCTCAATCTGTGTGTGTGTGTGTGTGTGTGTGTTTCCCCCTCTAATCTTCCACTGGCTAAATCCAGTCTGAAGCCAAACACAACCAGCATTCAGGTGATCAAGTCAATAGAGATTAGCCTACAGGGCCAAAAAAAAACACAAAGAGCCAAACACAAAATAATCAGCCAATCATACTTCACTGTCAAGAACATTTCAAGAAGAGAATAAATAGGGGCGCCTGGGTGGCTCAGTCGTTAAGCATCTGCCTTCAGCTCAGGTCATGATCCCAGCGTCCTGGGATCAAGCCCTGCATCGGGCTCTCTGCTCGGCGGGAAGCCTGCTTCTCCCTCTCACACTCCCCCTGCTTTTGTTCCCTCTTTCGCTGTGTTTCTCTCTGTCAAATAAATAAAATCTTTTTTAAAAAAAGAAGAGAATAAATAGCTTTTAAAATTTATTACAAAGAGGGCGCCTGGGTGGCTCAGTTGGTTAAGCGACTGCCTTCGGCTCAGGTCATGATCCTGGAGTCCCGGGATCGAGTCCCACATCGGGCTCCCTGCTCGGCGGGGAGTCTGCTTCTCCCTCTGACCCTCCCCCCTCTCATGCTCTCTCTATCTCATTCTCTCTCTCAAATAAATAAATAAAATCTTAAAAAAAAAAAAGACTTAAAAAGAAAGTTATTACAAAGAGAATATGTTGTTTTGGTAATAGGATTTTTTTTTTATATATAGGGCAAAGAGCCCCAATACACCATGTTATACATGGCAAATTTAGCCTTCGCCTGCACCGTTTGCCCTGAGTTGTTAGAGAGCCATCCTGCCCAAACAGCCTGTATGAGAACCTCAGAGCTCAACTCATTGTGAGGCACATGGGTGGTCTCTGAGGTTCTAGAATTCCCAGGAGCTGTAGCTTAGCATTGGGAGCTTCTGCTCATAGTTTTCCTTCACAGCTCTTGGGTGCCCTACACCAGGGTCTCCTCTTTCCCAAAATCCAGATGAAGAAGTTTCTCTTACTAATGAGTCTTTATCTGATTGGATGTGCCAGAGGTGAGTCCCCTATCTTAGCTCTGGGAGACTTTTTTCAGGTCTTTTAGCCCTTGAAGAAGGAAGACCAGAATATTTGTTACACAAACCAATCTAACTCAGAATCAGGAATAGCTAAACCAGTTCAACTCTGAGAACTCCTGAGCCAGTTGATTTCTCCTTGTAATGGCTTTACCATCAGAGAAGCCTGCTGGCTTAGCACTGTCTCATTCCTACTACTTTTTTAGCCACTCACCATTTGTACCTGATGCTCTGTGAGATGAGAAACAGGTCTAAGGGTTCTGTGGAAGTCCAATGAAGGTTTGTCCCAATGAACTGAGTGCAAGGGATCCTTATGTAGTTAATGTAGCAAGGAAAGATAGAAGGAGATAGGAATGTGATGTACCCAGAAAGCCATCTCAGAACACAGCAGGGCTATGGGCAAGAGACCTTATGAGCCTCTCCTTCATGGCCAGGTTCTACCCACCCAGTTGTCTGTATTTCCTCTTTCAGGGTCCTCATTCATGGTGGGCTGTATTCCCTCATTCCTCCTAGAGGAGAAGAGAGAGACCATGAGCTCTGAACTGTTGGCTAAATGACAAAGTGTTTTCTATAATGTTGGTTGTCCGAGATTTTGTTTTATGCTCTCTTAGACTTTCAAAAGTTGACTCAGAAATTTAGATACATAGCTACCAAATGGTAGTATATGCCAGCCATATGGCGAAGCAGTGAGTTGTCAACTCTAAGAATGACTAAGAAATGAGTATGCTTTTTCAAACCTTTCTACATCAGAAATCTCTTTATTATAACTTCTGTTAACTGTTAAAGAATCAATCAAGCAAATAATATTCAGTAACAACTTTTAAAAATAAAAACCTCCCCATAGCCTTTCCAAACCTTACCTTTCCTTATCAACATATTCTAAGCATAGTCTTTCAGAAAGTCATGGATTATAAAGACGGCAAATCACCCAGAATATACGTATCTATTGTAGGACTCTTACAGAGATAAGGGTAATTTGGAGCCCTAGGCTACCTTGTCTTCAACAGATCTTATCATTCCTCTCAGCTTTTGGCTAGGATTAATAATTCAGTTCTTGTAGTCTACCCACCCTACTCTGAGTTACTCAGTCTAATCACAGAGTAATAATCAAATTGTTTGGTGCTACTTCAATAAAATGAAAAGTACTACCTAAAGAATATTTGTATAGTAGTCACTGGTGAGATGGATTAAAGGTAGAAGGGACTGGCCAGAAGAGAATGACTGGCTAAGAGTTTTTTTAAGTCCCAGTGTAAAGTGGGGAGGAGAGAAAAATAAAATTAATTGAACACTTAGGCAATAAACCAGGCACGTCATAATTTATCTTACTGAAACCTCATGCAACTACATGAAGTAGGTATAATGGTACATCACAAGGAATCTCAATTCAGAAATAAATAAGCAAAGAATGTCTTTATCTTAATAACTGATCCCAACTTTGAGTCTCCAACCCACATGGATTGGGGACTGAGTGTAAGAAAGAATTTGAATTTGCCAAATAAAAATGTCTTAAATCCCGTCTGATCTTTTTTGTGGGTTCATTAGATATTTGTCATCTCTGGTTTAAAATTTGTCCTGTCCAAAGGGTAAAATCTTCTACCTTCAATTTCAGCAAGAATTACTTAGCTATTGAACCGAGTTGCTTTCTCTTTCCCTTTTGTATTTTCATCCTTCCTGCCTTTCACCCAGAGAGGAACTGGAGGGAGGGCTTGTGGTAGACTTCTGATCTTGTGATTGATAGCATATTGATTTCCTGATGCTGGCTTTGTCAGGGAAGCACACCATTTTCCCTTTGGGTGCTTTTGGTACATGGGCTAGTGGACTCCCCTGTACATTTCTTAATAATGTGGATCTTAAAATTCTTCCTTTAAATGCCAGAGGCGGTGGAGACACCTGGGTGGCTCAGTCATTAAGTGTCTGCCTTCGGCTCAGGTCATGATCCCAGGGTCCTGGGATCGAGTCCCACATCAGGCTCCCTGCTCGGCGGGAAGCCTGCTTCTCCCTCTCCCACTCCCTGTGCTTGTGTTCCCTTTCTCGCTGTCTCTCTCTCTGTCAGGTAAATAAAATAAAAAAAAAAAATTTAAATGCCAGAGGCGGTCTCCGTGTATTTCATTAACACCTCTGCCCTTCATGGTCTCTTGGGTAATTAGTTGATTTCCTCCAACATCTGCAATATCTTCAGATGCCTGACCAGGCCCACAGGAAACCCAGGAATCCCACGTTAGCCTTATTGCATAAGAAAAGCAATCTTTATCCCGGACATTCTTTCTCTCACCTTCCCTATCTCTCTTTTGTTCCTCTCCATCCCAGGAGCATCAGGTCAGCCTGATGAGCCTCCTGGCTCTATGGATCATCAAGCTTCAGTTCAGCAATTTTCAGGTGAGTACTTTTCACTTGGAAACCCTTCAGATGGTGAGGCTTTATATGAGACTTCTGCAGGCGAGAGCACTTTAAGTGAGCATACTTCAGGTGAGCACACTTCAGCTGAACATGGTTCAAGTGAACACACTTCAGGTGAACACGCTTCAGGTGAACGTGCTTCAGGTGAGCATGCTACGGGTGAACATACTTCAGGTGAACATATTGCCAGTGAGCACGCTTCTGGTGAACAACCTTCAGGTGAACAGCCTTCTGGTGAAAAGCCTTCAGATGAACAGCTTTCTGGCGAACAGTTTTCTGGTGAAAAGACTTCCGGTGAACAGTCTTCTGGTGAAAAGCCTTCAGGTGAACAGGCTTTAGATGAACAGGCTTCAGCTGAAAAGCCTTCAGGTGAACAAGCTTCCAGTGAGAAGCCTTCCGGTGAACAGGTTTCAGGTGAACAAGCTTCAGGTGAACAGGCTTCAAGTGAACAGGCTTCGGGTGAAAAGCCACTGGGTGATCAGTCTTCAGGCATTCCACCATCAAGCACATTTTCAGGTGAGGCACATTTTCAGGGGAATTGCATCTGGATGGGTGCTAGTCCTTGACTTCAGGGGAGAAATAGGCAACACATCAAGAAACCCAACTTTTAAGGAGAGCGTATAGAAGAAAGACTAGTTCACAAACACTTCACAGACAGCTCTCTCAAAGACACTCTTTACATCTCTTTACAGTAATACCAGGAGGCAGGATATAGGTTTTGTGTAGCCCTGAAGGCTAAACAATTTTGAGGGCCCTTTAAAAAAATAACACAAATACAAAATGCCAGCAGTGCCTCCAACTTCACTCTATGTAAGAAATTATAAATACAAATGCCCACTGCTCCCTTGGAAGGGGCTCATGGGACACTAACTTTCATGAGCTTCATGCTAAATCTGCCTCAACAAACTATGTTAGAATGCCTCGCAAACTCTGTAAGGAGATGACTAGCCCTCAAGCTGGTGGCTCCGTTTTATTTGTTTGAACATGGAAAATAAAGCATGAACACATTTTTGTCTGTTAGATTCATAAAGAACTTCCCAGCACAACTGCAATTCTTTGGCTCTTACTAAAAAGGGGTTGTTCAAGGAAGGACAACAAGATCCAGAGTTTGATGACCCCTCAAGATATTACCAGACATAAGCACTTCATATTTCCTCCCATTGCCTAAGTAGTAATATTCCAAATCTTCAGATGAGAGAAGTGGGGCTGACATCACATAGCTAGAAAGTAGCAATCCTTGGATTCAAACTTAAGTTGGTCTGATTCCAAAGCCCACATCCTTCCTATTTCTTTATGCTTCCTTAACTAGGGAATTGGCAATGGAGATAGTAAAAGAGGCAAAATAGAAGCATTTCACAAAGAATGCCCTTTGTGACAAATTGACATTGTTGAAGGTCAACTTGAAAATGGAGAACGATCACTCTTTACAGAGTTTGCAACATTAGAGCATTCTAACATAGCTTACTAATCAGCCAGTTCTTACTCTAAGTGTGCCTTGTGGGTGAGAGTATCATGGGGGAGTAAAAAGGGAAGCCAGTCATGTGATTAAAGCTCTACTTTGCTCCTATGGAGTTAGACATGGCAGAAGCCAGTGGGGGATATGAATTGGAGTAAACATCAGTATTATAGAGAGAAATTTGGGATTCTTCAGCAATGAAAATTATAGATGAAGCAGTAAGAATGAAGGAATTTCCTCTGGTCCAGAAGAGAGACTCTGCTCTATCAGATGCAGGGCCCTCAAATGCCCAACAAGAACCAAATAATGAAATGTGTTGTATCCAGGCCCATCATTCCTCTCCTTGTGATTTGTGGCTCCATCAGGAAATTTCATCAGGCTTGTCTTAAATTTGCAGGCCCAATATTAAATTGCCACACATGTTCATATATGAATGATCATGGAAAATGTCTTCGTGGAGAGGGAGTCTGCTCCACTCAGAATTCCCAGCAGTGCATGTTAAAGAAGATCTTTGAAGGTATGTGGGGACTTCATAATACAGTCTTTGCCAGAGAAACACATCAATTAACTTAAGTACTCTTGGGAGCAGCTGGGGTGGTGGGAGCCTGAGGAGGGGTCAAGCTGTGATTCCCCAGAAATTTGGAGACTCAGGAGAAACTTATCCTAAATTAAGAGCAGAATTCTAGCTACTGATGGGGAGGTAGAGGTCTTTCCCAGCAGGCTTATGATGTCTTAAAAGGAGACAGGGAGACTGGCTCTCTTCCTACAAAAGAAATGTATGAGTTGCACCTTGAGATGTTGAGACATTGACCATAAGCTCAGGACTGTGTCTGTCTTGTTCATGGTTATATATTCCTAGCACTTAGTACAATGTTTAGTACATGGTAGGCATTTAGTAAATCCTGAATAAATGAATAAACAATTGTCTATCAGTCAGTGTTCACAGGTTGCCAGACGTGTCTTGCTATATTCCCATACTCTCTACCCTTATACTCACTCCTCATCCCCAAAATAAAGGATCTTAGTTACTGCCATCCTGTGAACCACATTGTCTGACTTCCCTTGTGGTTTGTCTAGTCCCTCAATAGAGGCAGTGGGCAACAGATGTGGGGAAAGGCCCAGAAAAGACAGATGGAAGGAGACGGGGAGGAAGAATACACAAGCTGGAGGTCTTGGTCATGCCTGCATGGGGACACTGGGAACCATGGATGAAGGCGAAGGTCGGAGGAGGAAGCCCTCTGCTCACTACAGTCTGTCTCTGCTTCTTTCAGGTGGAAAACTCCAATTCATGGTTCAGGGGTGTGAGAACATGTGCCCATCTATGAACCTCTTCTCCCATGGAACCAGGATGCAAATTATATGCTGTCGGAACCAATCTTTTTGCAACAAGATCTAGAAGCCTGTGCCTTTGCTTCCTGCCCTGACTCAGGCAGTAGAAATTCTCCATCACCCTAAAGGGCTTAATTTATATTTTGTTTCTTCCCCAGTCAATAAGTAATCACGTCTCTCTCTGCCTGAGTGTCAGACAGGATGTTCAAATACCTCACCCTTCCTCTCCTATCCATGCCCTGTGACCCATTCTTCTCTGTCTTCTGTCTTCCCTTACCCCATCTCTCAACATTCTTTGCTTTCTCAATAAATTCTGCATGGTCAAGAATACAGACTGGAGATGGACTTCTTTTCCCATCAGCCAGTTTCAGGATCAGCCTGCGCCTGCTTCCTCCACATACTAAAGTGGATGTGTTTTAAATCACTCCACATTCATCAAAATGGAGGGGTCCCCCAGGGCAGAGATCACAAGAAGAAATGCAGGGTAGCTTAAACAATACTGTGGAACCTTCTCTGACTCCCCAATTTCCATCCCAATAGAAACCCTACCCCCTTCTCCCACCCGTGACGGTGTCCAAAACTCACCCCTTCTTTGGCTCTTGAGTTTTCAGTCTTCAAGAGTCTGCTCTTAGGGCGCCTGGGTGGCTCAGTTGGTTAAGCGACTGCCTTCGGCTCAGGTCATGATCCTGGAGTCCCGGGATCGAGTCCCGCATCGGGCTCCCTGCTCGGCAGGGAGTCTGCTTCTCCCTCTGACCCTCCCCCCTCTCATTCTCTCTGTCTCAAATAAATAAATAAAATCTTTAAAAAAAAAAAAAAAAAAAAAAAAAAGAGTCTGCTCTTAAAATTATAACAATAAATGACTCTTTTTTATTTGCTATATAAATATGTAGTAGGTGATACTGCTTAAATCTTTTTCTCACACAATGTTACCAGATCATCTCAGTATAGAGGAGCGGGTGGAAATACTGTAATAGCCCCTCACCTTGTATTAGTGTTATATTCTTTAACGTATTTGCACATCCATGGTCTCATCTGATCCTCAGAAAAGAGCCCGGTAAGGCAGACAAGAAAGACAGAATCATCCTTAGTTTACAAATACATAAAATTTATTTATTAATACACCATGTTGTTCCAAACTGGCCATGGTTACAGAGTTAACATTGAGCCAGGGCTGGATTTCAAAACCAAATCTGCATGATTTCAATTTGAGTTGCTTCTACCACATGATACATATTAGGCAGAATGGTTCTTTCAAGACCAAAATCAATCCTCTCTTCCAACACAAGCCCATCTCCTTTTAGCCACTGCTCTCCCACACCTCTATTTAAAACTGCCTGAAACCAGCTCAGTGGTCTTAACAGTGTCTTGTGCAGAGCAAAAGCCTTCAATTTTAATAAAATCCAATTTATTTTTTATTTTATGGACAGGGCTTTAGATTTCATGCTTAAGAACTCTTGGAATACTACATCCAGAAACAGATTTTACAGGCACCTGGGTGGCTCAGTCAGTTAAGCATCTGCCTTCCGCTCAGGTCCCGATCCCAGGGTCCTGGGATCAAGCCCCATGTTGAGCTCTCTGCTCAGCGGGGAGCCTGCTTCTCCCTTTCCCTCTGCCCCTCCCCCCTGCCTGTGCTCTCTCTCTCAAATAAAATCTTAAAAACAACAACAACAGATTTTCTGTTTGTGAGATTTAAAAAATTATATACACACACATACACATATCATGGACGTTCTCCCAAAAATATTGGTAATGGATTCTTCATTGGCAGTAACTGTTGGCTAGAAGACAATGGAACTTCTCTCCAAATTTCGTTTTTTTTTTTTAACAATTATTATTTTTCTCAGTATATAATTTTAATTTCCATTGTCTATAACTCAGTGATGCTTACATTCATATTTATTTGTTTTTATATGGGAATATCCAAATTGACAACGCATTAAACATTTTTGTACTTTAATAGAGAAATATCAGCTGTGGTTGATTTAGTATTTTCACCTATGGATTTAAGTATGTACTATTTGCTGAAAACCAAATGGGCTGGGACTTTGGATAACTATTTCCGTGAAGACATTCATCATTGTGAAGAGTGGTAAGTAGCACTTACAGAATATATACTCTATGCCGTGTAATGCATTTAGCAGTTTTGTTTATACTTTCTTTTTTTATTATTTATTTTTTTATTATGTTATGTTAATCACCATACATTACATCATTAGTTTTTGATGTAGTGTTCCATGATTCATTGTTTGTGTATAACACCCAGTGCTCCATGCAGAACGTGCCCTCTTTAATACCCATCACCAGGCTAACCCATCCTCCCAGCCCCTCCCCTCTAGAACCCTCAGATTGTTTTTCAGAGTCCATTGTCTCTCATGGTTCATCTCCCCCTCGGATTTCCCTCCCTTCATTCTTCCCCTCCTGCTATCTTCTACATTTTTTTTTTTAACATATATTGTATTATTTGTTTCAGAGGTGCAGATCTGTGATTCAACAGTCTTGCACAATTCACAGCGCTCACCATAGCACATACCCTCCCCAATGTCTATCATCCAGCCGCCCCATCCCTCCCACCCCCACCACTCCAGCAACCCTCAGTTTGTTTCCTGAGATTAAGAATTCCTCATATCAGTGAGGTCATATGAAACATGTCTTTCTCTGATTGACTTATTTTGCTCAGCATAACACCCTCCAGTTCCATCCACGTCATTGCAAATGACAAGATTTCATTCCTTTTGATGGCTGCATAATATTCCATGGTATATATATTCCACATCTTCTTTATCCATTCATCTGTTGATGGACATCTTGGCTCTTTCCACATTTTGGCTATTGTGGAAATTGCTGCTATGAACATTGGGGTGCACGTGCCCTATCTTTTCATTACATCTGTATCTTTGGGGTAAATATCAAGTAGTGCAATTGCTGGGTTGTAGGGTAGCTCTATTTTTAACTTCCTGAGGAATCTCCACACTGTTTTCCAGAGTGGCTGCACCAGTTTGCATTCCCACCAACAGTGTAGAAGGGTTCCCCTTTCTCCGCATCCCCGCCAACATCTGTCGTTTCCTGACTTGTTAATTTTAGCCATTCTGACTGGTGTGAGGTGATATCTCATTGAGGTTTTGATTTGGATTTCCCTGCTGCCGAGCGATGTTGAGCCCTTTTTCATGTGTCTGTTGGCCATTTGGATGTCTTCTTTGGAAAAAAGTCTGTTCATGTCTTCTGCCCATTTCTTGATTGGATCATTTGTTCTTTGGGTGTTGAGTTTGATAAGTTCTTTATAAATTTTGGATACTAGCCCTTTATCTGCTATGTCATTTGCAAATATCTTCTCCCATTCTGTCTACTGTCTTTTGGTTTGGTTGACTGTTTCTTTTGCTGTGCAAAAGCTTTTTATCTTGATGAAGTCCCAATAGTTCATTTTTGCCCTTGCTTCCCTTGCCTTTGGCGATGTTTCTAGGAAGAAATTGCCACGGCTGAGGTCGAAGAGGTTGCTGCCTGTGTTCTCCTTTAGGATTTTGATGGACTCCTGTCTCACATTTAGGTCTTTCATCCATTTTGAGTCTATTTTTGTGTGTGGTGTAAGGAAATGGTCCAGTTTCATTCTTCTGCATGTGGCTATCCAATTTTCCCAACACCATTTGTTGAAGAGACTGTCTTTTTTCCATTGGACATTCTTTCCTGCTTTGTTGAAGATTAGTTGACCATAGAGTTGAGGGTCCATTTCTGGGCTCTCTGTTCTGTTCCATTGATCGATGTGTCTGTTTTTGTGCCAGTACCATACTGTCTTGATGATGACAGCTTTGTAATAGAGCTTGAAGTCCAGAATTGTGATGCCGCCAGCTTTGCTTTCCTTTTTCAACATTCCTGTGGCTATTTGGGGTCTTTCTGGTTCCACACAAATTTTAGGATGATTCGTTCCACTTCTTTGAAAAAAGTGGATGGTATTTTGATGGGGATTGCATTGAATGTGTAGATTGCTGTAGGTAGCATTGACATCTTCACAATATTTGTTCTTCCAATCCATGAGCATGGAACATTTTTCCATTTCTTTGTGTCTTCCTCAATTTCTTTCATGAGTATTTTATAGTTTTTGGAGTACAGTTTCTTTGCCTCTTGGGTTAGATTTATTTCTAGGTATCTTATGGTGTTGGGTGCAATTGTAAATGGGATCGACTCCTTAATTTCTCTTTCTTCTGTTTTGTTGTTGGTGTATAGGAATGCCACTGATTTCTGTGCATTGATTTTATATCCTGCCACTTGACTGAATTCCTGTATGAGTTCTAGCAGTTTTGGGGTGGAGTCTTTTGGGTTTTCCACATAAAGTATCATATCATCTGCAAAGAGTGAGAGTTTGACTTCTTTGTCCATTCGGATGCCTTTTATTTCTTTTTGTTGTCTGACTGCTGTGGCTAGGACTTCTAATACTATGTTGAAGAGCAGTGGTGATAGTGGACATCCCTGCCGCATTCCTGACCTTAGGGGGAAAGGTCTCAGTTTTTCCCCATTGAGAATGATATTCGCTGTAGGTTTTTCATAGATGGCTTTTATGATATTGAGGAATGTACCCTCTATGCCTATACTCTGAAGAGTTTTGATCAAGAAAGGATGCTGTGGGGCGCCTGGGTGGCTCAGTCGTTAAGCATCTGCCTTCGGCTCAGGTCATGGTCCCAGGGTCCTGGGATCGAGTCCCACATCGGGCTCCCTGCTCGGCAGGAAGCCTGCTTCTCCCTTTCCCACACTCCCTGCTTGTGTTCCTGCTCTTGCTCTCTGTCAAATAAATAAAATCTTTAAAAAAAAAAAAAAAAGGAAAGGATGCTGTACTTTGTCAAATGCTTTTTCCGCATCTATTGAGAGGATCATATGGCTCTTGTTCTTTCTTTTATTAATTTATTGTATCACGTTGATTGATTTGTGGATGTTGAACCAAATTTGCAGCCCAGGGATGAATCCCACTTGGTCGTGGTGAATAATCCTTTCAGTGTACTGTTGTATCCTATTGGCTAGTATTTTGGTGAGAATTTTTGCAACCATGTTCATCAAGGATATTGGTCTGTGATTCTTCTTTTT